AAATAATAATTAAAAATTAATTAATATGATATTTAATTTTTAATTTTTTAAAATTCTTATTACCATTCTCCTCTAATCTAATTCTACCTTTTCAATGTGGTTTTATTTTTTTCAACCATTATAAAAAAAATTCTAATCAAAATATACTACATTATATCAAATCATTGCAATTTTGTGGCATTCATTTATCAATCAAGTTTATATTTAGCTTTAAATCTATACTAAAAATTTGTATTTCATAAACAAAATCAGAAATGGAATTTCGATTAGATATAATTTTTAAAATTTTAATTTTTTTTAAGTCTTACTTATTAATAATTTTTTACAAAATTTAATAATAAATTCTTTTTATAAGAATTACCGTCAAAACTAGTAACATGCCAATTTGAAATCAAAGAATAGATGGACTTGAAGCTGATTGTAACATATAGACAACATGCATTGATAGATAACCATAGAGATGGCATTGTATGTCACAACTTGGGAACATAATTTGCTCAATTTGAAATAATAAAAACTAAGTTTAAGGTTTTAAATGTTGTATATATATATATATATATATATATATGGGTAGATATTGTCTTTTACTAATTGTACTTTGTGATTTAAAGGTTATTTATTTAACTACTATTTATAGTTAAAACATCCATATTTTTAGATCATATAAAAACATGTTTAAAATTATATATATTTTAGATAAACACTTCTTTGATGTGTCAAAAGAGTATATAAACCTATTGTAGCAAAAAAACAGCCCAGTAATTTTAAACTAGTATTTTATTATTTATAATCTAAATGTAATTATTTTCTTTTTCTAAATATAATCAATCGTTTAGTATTCTTTTTAAATATTACATTTAAATTGAAAAGTTAGAATTTTAATTTTTAACAATATTTTTTGTCAATACAATTATTTTTACCTCTGATCTAAACATATAAACTTAATTTGCAATCTAATATTTTGATAATTTAAAATTATAGCCAATCTAATAGAATTACTTTAAGATCTTAATTTAGTTGATTTTAATATTTAAAATTATAAAAAATAAAAATAAAGATTCAGATTGACATATCATTAAAGAATCAAAAGATTGTGACTTGTTTGTTTAGGTAAAAATTAAAATTAAAAAATCTCAAAACTTCACAGAAGTTCTAAGAACATTTATATATACATTGGATAGAATCAACTGCAGTGTTAAGTGAAAGACATTGAATCTTGATTCTTTATTATACAATATATTGTAGGCTAGCTCTTTGGCAACATTAATGGAAATGATTAACATCCACAGCCAACAATATAAGTGGTACCAGTGGTGAACATGTCATAGAGAATCAAATCAACTATAGTGGTATGTGAAAGATGTGCATACAAAAACAAGCATGAAAAAAACAAAACAAAACAAAAAAAAACAAAATATAAAAAAATATATTTTGGTAGAAAAAATCATCATTTTTGTAACTTATAAAAATGAAATAATAATGCAAAATTTAACAATGTGAAAATATTATTTCTAAAAATAAAAATAATATAAAACATATAAATATCATGTTGTATATGAATAAATTAATAAAAATAAAAAATAAGTTTAAAAAAATAAGATTTATAATATATTTAATTTTAAACATAAAATTTAAATGTATCTATTAATTTATTTAATTGAAATTATAATAATTTTATAAATTTTAATCTATGTTTCAAATATTTTTGAGTAATCTCAAAAAAAATTAAATTTAAATTATGCATGTGTTTAATAATTATTATTATATAAAAAAATAAATTATTAGTTTCTTTTGGATTTCTTCTCATTTTAAGATTTCTAATATAGTTACAAGTAACAAACATCAATCTTATCAGAGATAATAGATTACCAAAATCCATAGTATTATAATATATATCCTAATTAATTTCTTAATAATATAAGAAATCATAAGTAATAGTGTTATTGTGGTAGAAAAATTTATATGTCTTAGACTTATATACCTCTTATCTACATATATTAATATTAAAGATAAACATTAATTACACATATTATTTTATCACTGACTACAAATTTGTTTTGATCTTTTTCAATAATGTTATGTATAAAAACTTTTTGAGGAAAGAAAAAAAATAAAGAAAATAATATTGAAATATTTTATATGTAAATATTATAAATAATAAAATAACTATTATTTGATACATCTAAATTTAAACAAGTTTATTTTATTTAGTAGCTTTTTAGCCTTTCACCTTTTTATTTTAGTATAACAAGATACAAATATATGTAGATAAGAGTTAAGTGATTTAATATGTTTTTAATTATAATTATATTTTTTAATTTTTTAAAATAACCTAATTAAATTTATTTTTTGAGATCTTTTAGCATTGATCTTGAGAAAATTTAATTTTTTAAAATAAGTTCACATGTAACAGAATATATTAAAAATTATTTTTCACATTCAAATACAAGTTTGAAATCTTATGTCAAGTTATTTAAAATCATCTTATTGCTAATAACTACATTACACTCTTTTCTTAATATTGAAATCTTATGATGATCATTCTATGTCTCACATTTATTTGCACTTATCACTCTAACATGGTTCAATCTTTACAAAATGTATATTAATAATTTTTAATTACATGATTTTATATGAAGTAAAGACTTAAAATTACCTGTCAAAAATAATATTTAATTTGCCACCAAAACTTCCATTAAAGTTTCACTTAAACATTTCATTGCAGTGAAAAAACAGTCCTTATACCAAATACCAACATGCTTATGAAGCATATTGCAAGCCAAGACCTTTAATCCTAAACCTCTGGCCTTGATGGACTGATCTCTCTATACAAGACATCCTGAAGACTAACCTTTACTTTCTGTATAATTCATTCATGAGCAAAGTAATCACAGTTTCTAAAAACTTTGAAAATAATACACAAAAGAAATTAACTAGATTTATTTGGCTTAAAGATTTCCAAAGCTCAATAATCACATTGATATCCTCCCTCCAATCCCCCTATTCTCACAAAGGAAAAAAGAACTTCAAGTCTTTTGCAATTTAATACCCCTCTACCACACTACAAAAAAAAAAAAAAAAAAAAAAAAAAAAACACACACACACACACACACTTTTACATCTCAATTCATTCAATAGTAGCATACTTTACCACTTTTTCTTAGAAAATATATGATAATTTACATCAGAATAAGAACAGCTTTTTTTATTAGTCAACTGTCAAAGTCATCTACCATTTATTCTTTTTGTTTTTATATATTTATATATAAATTAAACTAACATTCTTCTACTGAACTGGGTTGTCAACAATATGATGTCCAAGTTTGTTTATCATGCCATGTAGTTGGGGGGAATTAGTGGGGCTCATGCCCTTCTCACCACACACACTCAGTCACTCACACACATGATTTGCCATGCTTAGCAACAATAATCCAGGTTGCTGAACTCCTGCTCTTGGTAATTTGTATATTTATTTTTTATTTTTATAATTTTTTTATTTGATTAATTTAAAAAGCAGATTTATTATCATATTTTCAGAGTTTCAAACTTTTAATGAATTTTGAGGACATTGAATTTAATTTTTAATTTTTTTTATTGTGCTGATTAAAAAAAAAATCCATTTCTTGTATAAATTTTTAGTTTTCCATTTAACTCTTTCAATCTTTGTCACAGAATCCTAATAGTTCAATAGGCAGAGTATGAATCCAAATTACTACCACAACAGTTTCTTCATTAATAATATAATGTTTCCATCCTATCAATATTTATCAATTTCCCTTGAGGATTGTTAAGAAGCACACCAAGAAACTCAAGTACAAATTACTTGGAATTGCTAAAGAATGGTTATCCTTGATTGACACCAAAGACATCCACCCCCACAATTAATTCCTATAAAACCAATTTGTATTTGCAACAATCATTTGGCCAACATTGAATGAGCAACCAGGATTCAAAGGGGGGCACACCATGCATGCCTGCTTCCAAAGGCATCTAGCCCCTCCACATCAAAGGATGTGACAATACACTAGGTATCACTAATTGAGGAAGAGGAGGAGTAGGGAAACTCCAATTCAGAACCACAGCATCTCAACCCACTAAAGAGACCAGTACTGTTCCACTTCGGAATTTGAGGATCTCACCAGAAATTTCACCATGAGCCTTGACCTCTAGGACACACTATCATTGGGAATTGAGGTGGGAAGTTAAGTAAAAGAAAGAAAGAAGAAGAAACTATTCACTCTTGACCAGCCACAGCTCTCTGAGTCCATGAACTAGGAATCAAGCAATGGACTGTAAGTGAGAGCGGAGGATGAGGGAGGGCCATTGTAGAAGAGTCCCCAACTTAAGAAGCTTTGGTAGGCAGGTATCATTCATTCCACACATGAGTCACATGACATAGCTGTGGGCATTTGAAGAAATCAACTCTCTACCCACCTCTAGCAGCCACTGTAGCTACTACTTCTATTACTACTACTACTACCAGCTCTCACTATGAGTCCCCCTTCCCCCTTGGAACAGAAACAGCTGAGTTATTGGAGGATCATGTTACATGCACATTGTGGGCTCAATCCATGAAAAAAGAGAGAAAAATTGGGGCCATCCACCCTCCTCCTCCTCCATCCCAGCTTTTGCACATCCCTTGCCCCCAAAAACTTGTGCACGAAATTCAAAAAACACTGGGAACATTACTGAAGAGGGCGAGAGGGAGAGAGAGTGTGCCTTGGGAATGGATCCCCCCCCCCCCCCCCGCCCCCCTTTGAACTCAACTTGGGTGGGCCGAGCTGGACGACCAAGTCACTAGGGCGGGGGGGGGACAAGGGAACGTGCCACGTCGGAGCGCGCTTGCGACCGTCGTGGGAACGTTGCAGTGGGTTGGTGAGGGGGGAGCGACGGCATCTAGTATTCGATGCAGTTTCATCCAAATGGTATCATTCGTTCGGTGGCGGGGGGAGGGGGGGGAGGGACGAGGATGAGTGGACCAGTCTGTTTGTCTTTATGACTGGAGCGACTGTCTGTTGCGAGGGGAGTGAGTGGTGGCATGATTGTTGCGAGAATTCATGGAGTGATGGCACCAGAAAGGAGGATCCCTTCATCACGACTGACTGAAGTTCCATTTTCTCTGCGACCCCGATTCAGGCCGCATTCGCATCATGAGCTCAACCGGGCTGGCTTTAGATGATTGTGGCCAGTGTCAAGAAGACTCGCTTGGTTGGATCAAGAAGAGAAACTAGAAAATTCAAGAGGGAGAGAGAAAGAGAGAGGCCGGTTCTTGAGAAATGCTGGCCTTCTTTTAAATTTTTGATGAATAGGTTCGCGAATTCAATGTTTTGACTACGGGAAGGGGAATTTGAGTGGTTGATTGTGTTGTGGTGTTGGTGTTGATAGCGCTCATGAGCGCTCATGAACATGGATTCAGCTCTGCTGTTGAGGTTTTGACTCTTGTAGGAGGAATTGAGGTTAGTTAGTGCGGCCTAGCTCGTGTATAAGATCCATGATTTTGGTTGCGTTGTAAGGACGGAGGATCCGATCTCTAGGATTCCGTATTTGGAGGATTTATGGTTCGCGGCGTCGCTGACTTGAGTGATTGCGAGCAGGTCTTGAAGAGGTGTCACTTAGTGAACAGCATTCTTAATCTCAATCGCTGTCATGGTTCCAGTGAAGGGAGGATCGATGGACTTACTCGATTCGGTTTCGGCTCGAAAGATTTGAAAGGTAGTAGTCCTTGTTGCGAGAATGAAAAGGTCCAATTCATGAAGAGCTCGCAAATCTGTGGACTGTCAATAGTCTTATCCCCGAAATGATATGATTACTACAAGACTCGTAGGATAGTGCAGTAACTGAGCATGAAGAATTCGACCTACAATCTTAGGCCAGACCTATGCCTATCTTGATTCAAGACTTAGCAAGCGGTCATTGTGGAGTGACAACTGAGTAGCTGCGAAGATTTGCAGAAAGTCTCACCACATTGGCAACATTGGTGCTAATTGCGAAAAAATCAATCAACTAGGCATTCCAGAAAGGCATGCCTGTTGAGGTTATTCTATTGAAAAGAATTCAAGGAAATGGGTGCGGAAACATTTTATTCCACAAGGCCACGGGTGCCCAGCAGGATATTAAACTGCGGGGAGATGGTGGCCGAGTCGGTGCTTCAGCAGTTGGAGGCGGAGTTGCTGCTTCAGCATTTAGAGGAAGAGGAGATGACAGTACAAAGTGAATTTCCATCGCCAAACAGACGCAAGCTTTTGGTTGGCATGAAGTGCAACGTTTCTTGTCAAGAACTGCTGGCTTGGACTGTTGTTGAACTGGCAAAACCTGGAGATCACATCTTAGCTTTTCATGTGTCCTCTTTCCCCATGGATTCAGGTAGGGCGCCTACATCTGCTATTCGGAAGCTACTCCCGGAGTCGCCCAAAATTGGTTCTACTCCAGGAGTTGCGATCATGTAGTTGATCGAAGCATTCATATGTGTGTCATGACCCCTTTCTTCCTCCTTGAAATACTGTGCAACCTCCTCTCGCCATGAAACATAGACGTCTGAAAAAAACTCCACTCGAGTGTTAATGTTGCTGGGAATCGGGTCATTATTTAGCCACAATCACACCAAAACCTTAAGTTTAACATCTTGGTCAAGCACATGAGACAGGAGTTACGTCCATCTGATGCTATTATGGACGCATAGAATACATGTACATCAAAAACAGAGAACCATTAAGAGCTCGTACGAGGTAATTAGACGTCTACGTCGACGTTCTATTTTCAATAAATTTTCTGTATAAAGTCTGGAGGTCTGTCCAAAATCCTAAACCTTGGACACAGACCTCCAAGGTCTGTCCAAAATCCTTGGAGCTGAAAAATAAAGTAGTTCCGCGGTTAGGATCGTATGCCCCTTGTATTCGTTCGAGACGGACTTATCAATCTACCATCCTTCAGTGGACCTTCGCAAGAACATTGTTTTTCAAAACACGACTTGATTTAGCATGATCAGAGTGGCGTAGGGTGGCACACCTGCCTTGTATTGGGTAGAGGAGAGGCATTCGTTACAGACGTAGTTGTGAGGGGAAGGAAGGCCCGCGTGAGCAAATTGCTTCAATTTCCAAGGTCATTTTTCGGCAGGTCATGTTTTGAGGCGTAAAGATTGATGAGTAGCAGGTCTTCAGTAGTAATGTTAAACACGAAGAAAGATTGGAAATCGTTCTGCGACTAGTAGTGTCATTCTTCTTTCACAGTACGACGTACTTGCTGCTCACCCTTGGTCCTAAAGACTAGATACTGCTTGAATACGCTAAAAACGGAGTTGGTAGTTCTCTGTGACCTCAAATATGACGACGAACCCTGTCGTTTGAGCGGATGTCCACAGGCTTTAAGCACGACACTTCTTTGGTGCTGGAGATGATCATCTGAATGAACTGTGAAGCTGCAGCCTCATTGGATGTGTCGTGTGTTGACAGTGGCGAAATCCGAGGAGCTTCAACAACATTTTGAGCAACTTTCCAACTCTCTTCGAGGTTTTATTGCTGTTCACGAGAACCTCTGCGTTATGAAACAAGTATGTCTCAAATCTTCCCTGAACTATTCTTTTAGCAGCTGTGCCTATTTCACATTGAGCGTGGTGTTCTTTTTCTGGTTTCTGATGATAAACCAACTTTGTCGAGCCTAGAAGAAGCAGCTCCCCCGTTCGTTTTGTCATTATGTACAAGCATCTTCATGCATTTCTGCGTTCGAAATAGAAATTGGTACGTCTTGCCGTGCTTGATGATAATTTCTACATTACAGATAAAATTAGAAGTGGAAATCCTCACCGGAGTGAAGGTCAAAAAAGCTTTGGTGAATTTTGCAAAGAAGCAGGGGACTTGTGAGCTCATTCTGGGATCCAACAAGCACTTCACTATTGGGTAGACTTTTCCGCCTTTTGCTTCTATTTTCTCGTATTTGTCTTGGAAAACCAGGCAAGCCCTTCGAATTGCACCCAGTTATTGTGGTTAGTCTTTGTTTCATCCAATTTTTTAACGCTGCTATATCCTCCTGTTGGATACTGATCACGTGCCCAAATCCTTAAACGGGTATTTTGTCCTGCAGGAGAAATAAGTTGCTTGGTAGATACTGTCTGAAGCGGCTACCGAATACATGCACAATTAAAGTCCTACAGCACGGTGAAATCATTCTCAACGAACAAGGAAAGCTCTATGCAGACCTTCCAAGTAAAAAAAATCCTCACCTGTGCTAAAACCTCGGTGCATTTCACTTGCAATCGCAATCACCATAAGTTTACTAGAGTTCGCTGTGAATGCATACCTATCATGATAATCAAACACAATAGTGTCTTAAACCACTCATGCTAAATGAGCAAAATGTTTATGCTTATGGTCATTACATGTTACAGACATTGGTGGAGGAATGATTAAATCTTTACGAGGAAGCATGAAGAGTTTCAAAAGAAGCACGACTGGTGCATCGGATGAAAGCTCTGATGCAACACCAAGACCTAGCAGAGGTCTACAGCCCACCTTCAAGGAGTTAAGCTATGGTATAAATAGCACCAGATATATAAATCACAGCACTGAACTGGAGAAGTGCTATTTCTCGGATTCGTCTCTGTGTAATTCTTCTGTGAAAGCGAGTTCAAAAATCGAAACTGAGAGGCCTGACATGTTTCTACTTCAAGACCAGTGTGATGCTCAAACAATTTTTCCAGCTAAGTCCTCTTTTGTGCGTTCTTCTTTCAGTTGTACTCCTGGGCAACCTGATACTTCAATCACTTCTGAAGAAGTACTTGTTCCTGGATGGCCCCTTATGCACCATTCAATAGGACTAGACAAATTAAAACGCGTTCCAAGCGTGCTATATCGTCCCTTTCTTGACAAAGAGTCTCCTTCTCTAAGTTCATCACATGGACTCTATTTAGAAAGAAAATCTGCTTTGGGTCCACTCCATGGTCGTTTCTCAGACAAGGTGCAGCCTGCTCGAAGTCCTCCCCATCGATTGCTCTCGGAGAAAAAAATAACAGCACCAACTCGTTTAGATCGTCATATGTCGGTTGTTGATTGGGCCTTGCAAATTCCACATCGAAAAAGAGACAACTTGAAAACACCGAAAATGTTAACTGAAGATGATTGCTCGAAAGCGCTCCGTGAGATGGCCAGAGACGCTTTTGGAACTTGCAGCTACGTCAATTTGGAGGAAACCGCTGCGGAGACAGGCTCAGATGACTTGCACAGGGCAACTAAAAATATGCAAGCCTCACTCAACTTGTCCCCGAGTGAAGAAAGGAAAAATCTCGATGTGCTTACGGTAGGAGAAACGCCACTAGCACGAAGGTTGCACGTCCTCTGTTTGGATCGGTATATCGCATTCGAGTATGAGGAGCTTGAAGTTGCAACATCACATTTCTCCTCAGGTGAGTTCCTTGAGAATATTTTTCTGAACAATTGATCTGCAAGACTATTTGCAGAGAACATTGCGATGTGATTATTATGCATTTGCACCCGATTTCAACGGGCTTTATTTATGCAGGTGTGGTAGTAGGGCGTGGGGGAGGAAGTGAAGTGTACAAAGGTAATATGCAAAATGGTAAGTTGGTGGCGGTGAAACTCTTAAACAATGGTCCTCAAGCAGAGCAGGAGCTTCTGAATGATGTCAGTATCAACACTACTATATCGCATCCCCACGTTGTTCCCATGATTGGTTATTGTGTTGACTCTCCAAATATGATTCTTGTTTATGATTATCTCCCGGAAGGAAACCTTGAAGACCGTCTTCATGGTAAGTGACCGGAGCATTACCTGCTCTTGCAACTATCCTTGGAGTGTCACAATCTCCTTGGATTTGCCGTTTTTTTTGCTGAATTTGGTCTCCTTGCTGAAAAGATGCAGATAGCTTCATAATAATGACTACTGATCGTTGCTTTCGTAGCATCTGGGTGGAAAGAACCTGTTCTACCTTGGGATGTGAGATTCAAAGTAGCACTGGGCATAGCTAAAGCTTTGGATTATCTTCATCACCGTACTTCCCGTCCTATTATTCATAGAGATGTTAAGGCATCTAACATACTTCTCACGGCAGACTTTGAGCCCCAGGTTCATTCTCCACCATAATACATGCTCTGTTGACATATTTTACGTTGCAAATGGCATTTTTATCAAAGATTATGCCATGGTTCTGATCAGAAATCTTTTTTGATCATCTTCCTCAGTAGTCTTCATCAGTCTAGTATCAAGTTTATGATATATTTCTATATAAGCTGAAGGGTTTGTGGTTTTCAATGTTCTCTTTTGTTTTCGTATCTTAACTCTAAAAAATTGTTGGGCCTTGCAGTTATCAGATTTTGGTCTTGCAAAGTGGGCTCCAAAAAAGGCGCCGTACTTACTGTGCGATGACATTCTTGGCACATTTGGGTATCTACAGCCTTTCCCCAATTATCGCTGAAACTCAGACATTGTCTGTCTTTTCTGTGTTTTGAACACAGCAATATGGAAAATTTCTGATCTAAGAGTGACCTCTGCAGATATCTCGCACCTGAATACTTCATGTATGGGAGAGTGAACAACAAGACTGATGTCTACGCTTTTGGCGTTGTACTGCTTGAGCTCATAACCGGTCGGCCACCAATAGACAATTCGAAGCCCAAAGGCCATGAAAACCTTGTCAAATGGGTAAGCTGCTTGTTTTTTGCTTCAACCATTTCTTACACATCAATTTGCTCAGGAACATTTTGAGGAACTGCAGTGTATTGGCTACAGATAACAGCCGAGAATATTCTGGAATCTGATCACAAATACCATCCAAAAATCATATTTATTCTTTGCAAGGATATCAATCGTTAGATGCAGGTCAACGTCATATTCTTCTTCTTCCAGCTCTAATGGTGCAATTGGAATCTGTTTGATAGGCAAAGCCGTTGTTAAAGGAGACTAAATTGGCCGAATTGGTAGACTCACGGCTGGCGGGGCTTTATGACGGAGATCAGGTGAAGAAATTAATAATGGCTGCTTCTCTTTGTGTTCGACAATCTTCTAAACGGAGACCACAAATGAGTAGGGTATGTATCTCTCCCCAATGCTCTGCTGCTTAAATCACACTGAGGTGCAATTGTTCCCATAATCAAGGCTCCTTGGTTCGGTGATGCGTACTAAATGCTGGGAGGCACATCTTCCATGTATAGTATAATGTTCAAAGTCTAGATGAAAGTAAGCAAATGATTCAACCTACCTGGAAGTCTCTTATTGTGCACAAAATAATTTTCTGTTCACAGGTATTACAAATAATTTGCGGTGACTGTGACGAGCTCCGAAACATCTGCACAGGACCTGAGACGAGCGGGGAGAGCACGTCCATAGATTCTGAGGAATGTGACGTTGACATCGCAGAAACTCCTGAGTTTGGTGGATGTGCCACTAATATTGGGACTCACCTTGCCCTAGCACTGCAAGGTGTGGAAAAAGACATCATTTCCGTGAGAAGCTTTGAGAACAGTGGGATTGATCTAATATATTCAAGCGAATAACATGAAGATTAAAATGAACGCCGATTGAGCTCACCATACAGTCTCGTCAAGTGATCTACACTGCTATGCACCATTTTTCCGGTTATGTAAAGAGAAAAGCTACAGATCGGGTATACAATTCAATTGTGCGAGGTATCGGTTCGTGTTCATCTGATCGTATTCTTTGTATCATAATAGTTACAAATCGTTAGCTAATTCCGCCTTCTTAGGTTGACAGAACAGAGGTCAGAGAAAGAGCGGGAGCTCAGGAAAGCTTCAAAACTAGACCCATAAAATCTTTGTATAAACAGGGCATATACTAGTTATCCTTTCGAAACTGTAGCAAAACCAGCAGAAGTTAGCACTACTAACAGCAGCGAAACTGTGGAATTGAAGTTCCTTTAATTCCAAATTAGCCCAGGGATCATTTCCTCCACTGGCCCTAGTATCTCTGCTGATATAACACAAAATTCATTGGCATGCTATTAATTGAGGCATCATTACAAAAATCTCACACATATAAACCACATCATGCAATGTCTTAATATACATTGTCCTTTTCCATCTTTCTGTCAAGATTCAATGCAGTAAAAACTTTATTGAATTTAAATTGTTGTGAAAGAAATGATAATAAAAGAGTTCATGGATTATGACGAAAGCTTGAGGTCTGGACCAACAAGAAGTGCGTTTCCGAGAGGGAAAAAAGTAGAATAATCCTGTTGTCTAAGATGATTACTTGCCATTTGATTCAAAATCATCCAATTCAAAAAGGTTGCCTCCAATGCATGCATCAAAAGGGAATGTTGCTCGCACTCGATTACTGAAGGCACTAGATTGGCTGTTACAATTTCCCAATGGACCCTAGCATTTGAAAATGGCAACTCTTTGAGAAGTTACAGAGCTTAAAACCCGTTGTTGAATTAATTCAGAGAATACAAGAGAAGCACCACAATGGTATACAACATGATTTCAAAGGCACACATCAAACACACACATACCACACACACACACAAGCAGAACTGTATCTTCAGCAGAAGAGCAATCGCTTAGAAGCTCGCTTTCCTGTAGAGCAGAATCCATCCCTGCTATCAAGTCCACAGGATAATACTAAATACCACACGGTCCAGAAGATTGGAATGCCACTCCGTAGCTCAATGGCGCAGCAAGAAGGAGCTTCATTAGGCCTACTGATAATGGAAATAGGTCAGCCAACTCAATTGACCGAACACAACCTAGCTTGGACAATCTCCGTCAACCATCATGTGCACTTGGTCTTGATAATTTGCGCTCTCCAATGAACTTTACATTCTAAGTACAGACCCCTGATGATGATTTAAAATTAAATTAAAAAACCTACTCCAAAAGCCATTTCCACCCTTGCTGGATCCATAGCACTTCAAGGAAAGCGTGCCCCTACACTGAAAATCGGCCGCCAGTCGGACCATCTCAACGTCCTATATACAAAAACTACCGTAGAGTCAAAGATCTTCATCTTCGTGGTAAAGATACAAACCAAGGCCGAATCGTGCGCAAGCACGACGGAACGCCATCCCCTCGGCCTTCTGGACTGGATCACCATATTGCGTATCAGCCAGGGATGCAGTGCCGGACGACTCCCGCCATGCCTCCCCGTCGGAGCCCCTAATCGTCACCCGATACACCACAGACACGGTGGAACTATCGGACGCAAACACAATGCTCCGCACCTCCCCGCTCCATCCGGGCGCGTAGAAGCTGAGCATCCGATTGGCATGATACCACGGGATGTACTTCAACATCACACCTTCATCGTTCCTGGTCTTCAGCACCTTGTCTGGAACTCGCTTGTTCAAGTCGCGCAGAATCTCCGCAAGCGGCCTCGTAACCAACGATGGCTCGGTGGCTGCTCCTCCAGGCCCACTCATGGGCACCGCATAGCTCAAATTCGCATTGGCATTCACCCTCCCGTACGGACCACCCAAGACCATGCGCACGACGTCCCTCCCCTTCGCCAGCTGCTGTCTCCCCTTCACCGCCACTCTCTGCCTCATCGCCACCCCTAGAAACTCACAACTCGACACAGCCATCGTCATCGCCATCGCCGCCACCAGAAAATTACTCCAAGTTCACGACACGAGATTCGCTCCCCCCGCGTCGAAATCCTCAGCAACTGCTGCACTACCAATGCAAGTACACACACCCCTGGCGCTAATCTTAAGACTAAGCTTGACCTAAAAGGAGCTTCGTCTTCGCCTCCATCTTCCTACCCGGCGAACGTCAAAGTTTCTGAAATCGCAAACAGGACTTTGAAAGGGAACATGACAAGGGTCAAAAGGGGTGAGAGTCAAGAGTGGGTGTCAAAATCTTCGGGAGGAGACCCCAGATCAACGACGAAATCCCGCTTTACAGCTCGATAGAAATTCCTCGAGGGCTTCGTCGGAAGCTTAAGGGCTAAATTAGGGTTGTAGAAAGTTGCGTGCACCAGCAGCATGTTGAGGTTTTGATTTCGACCTCACTTTGACATTGTGATCTTTTGACCGTTTGTGTGTTATGGGTTCTTGACGGTTGAATTCTGATGCTTGGAATGTACGTTTGAGGCGTTGGTCACATGTTTCCTGTTCATTTGGGTGAAGCTATGAAAGTATGTAACGTAGATTTCTGCATTATGTTCGCATTCTAGATTATGAGAAGATTTAGTGCTTAAAATTTGGATATTGCTTGACTGCAGCTTGATAAGTGTGAAGCTGTCATTATGACTTTTTGCACGGACTACAAAGATTGTAAACATCACATCTTTAGATTGATAAAATACTTGGTGTGAGGAATTTTCCCTGAACAGAAGAAAAAAAAAAAAAAAAAAAAAAAAAAAACACACACACTGATGATTTTAGTGCAGCACATGTTCCTTCTAGTATATGTATACCAACATATATACCAAAGATCTTTTTGTGAACAAAGATAGAGAGGGGGAAAAAAAAGGAGGAAAACACAAAAAGTATGTATGAAGTTCGATCACATTGCAGTTGATATAGGAGAATTAATTCTCTCACAAGAAGCTACAGGCAGATCATCTTCAGCTTACATGGTGGGACCATGGGGCAGGAAGCTGAACCAGCATACTTTCCTGCCCCCCTTCAATGTGCTTTCCTGATACCCTTACTCTTTCATTGACTTGGACGAAGTAGTTGAGTTGAGAAACCTCCATCTTTGATACCCTTGCCAGGATGGATCTGTGCCAGAATTTGCTGAAGCAGATGGTCTCCCTGGAGGATACACAAATCACTTGATTTCAAAATGCGTGCGTAAGTGATGAACCGCAATACAGAATCCATGAGAAACTGTTTCTCTTAACCATCTCTAAGCATTCCCGTGATGTAAGGGAGAGAGCTTATTCATCTGAAAACTGCATACCTAACATACAAATACAATCGTTGTAAATCCCGTCTGTTACAAGATAAGATGTTCGATGACTTTCAAGAGAACTGCAGTGACTTTACTTATCATCCTCAAGACTGTATCCTTGTCGGGCATAGATGGAATAGCTCCACGCTCAGTTGTTGTAATGGCTCCACATGCGTTAGCAAAATAAAGAGCTTCTCTTAACCGCGGCTCATCCTGAATAAGAACACTCTATTGTAACTGTTTGAACAGATTTTAACTAGGTTCCTAGGTCTTGGCTATCATCATGAAGATTACCGGAATCAAAACATTTGTATAAGTTCACTCAGTTAAGAAACACCAAAGGCTCAAAAGTTTCAGGTCTTGGTTCAAGCAATGCCTCCAGAAGAGTCATCTGAAGTATGGACTTTAGAGGTGAGTTCATCATCTTGTCCAAATGCAAAGGTATGTTGAGATGACCATGTACTAACATCAATGATGGCGGGATCCTTCACGATTAGGCTCAAAAGGCCAGCACAGAATGCGTCGCCGGCCCCAGTTGTGTCGACGACCTGCACTTTAATTCCGCCCACTTCTCCTTTAAATCTCTGCATTCTCACATAATATTCACAGAATTAGACTACCAGTAGTCCGAATATCGAATGGTCAGATTATCTCATTAAAGGTTAATGGAACCCGGTCTAATAGTAGCTACACTTCACACAAGATGTCGATTTTGCTTCATATTCATCTATTAAACCTGGTAAAACTGTAGGACTACAGGGAATATCTCGCAAAATATTTGGATAAAATTAGAGCTTGAGCTACACAATGTTGGTAAACACATAAGTGGAGACCAGGACATGCTCGCAAACCAGTTGCACGAAGACACACCTCGTTCAAGAATTATTTTTGTCGGTATTTCCGACCAAATAATGAAGATTAGTTAAATGAAAATATAATGACTGGACTAAGAAGTTCGTGACAGAGCAGTTTTCTAGAAAATAAATAGTTCTTTGAGAAAAAAATACACACCTGAGTGTAATAACGCGATCCCTCCGCACCCTCAGTCACCAGCATCAACTTGCATCTAAGATGAAACATTCTCATATTATTCTCATCCTCAGTAGGATCACCACCAGTGAGAAATATCACCTCCTCATCGCTGACCTTCAGAACCCATTGCACACGTATGAACCTCTTATCAGGAACTATCAACCCATGTAACATGTATCATCATCCTTCAGGTGTTACCTAGTTTATTAGTGAAAAGACAATCATCATTCAAGCTGATTCGTTAACCTCTCACAACAGGTTTATGCAAAACTGAACAACCTTTTTCAGCAGACCGCCTGGACTCCATAGACAACGAATTCATCAGTAAATACTTACAAATTTAACTCAATATAACACAATGATTGACTATGATAAATGTCAAACACCAGCTTATAATAGTGACGCAAGACGGTAAATCACCAATGTCAATTTAGTTCCCCCACCTTAATTATATCAGCTTGATCCCAAATACTCTTTATCATCACTTTAGCAGCCTCTGGTGAAGGCCATAATGGTAGTCGAAGATTTGGGTCATAAGACAACAAGCACCCTGCTTCTTTGGCAATTCTCAAAGCTTCCATGTGTGTTGAACGTGAAGGCTCCGTGATTAAGCTTATGGATCCATAGTGCAGTATAGAAGCCTGCACATGACATCCAACCGCATGATTAATGATGTGAAGATGGTCATTTCTGATAACAAGTTGAGTAACTTTTCGTAGACGTTATGCAGGTTGATTCAATCGATAGCAAATAAAATTGAACAGTACACTGCTTGGAAGTCAATTGATCGACATGATGCACGTTAACCAGTCTGAGTATGATAAAGTGGAACATTTGAGGAAAGCATGATCTCGTACCTGCTTGAGTATGTCAACATCAAGCTCCTCCTTCGTAAATAACATGTCTGCGCTGGGGTTACGATAAAACATGAACTCACGCTCTCCATCCTCCCGCAAGGTCACAAATGCAAGTGCTGTCCTGGCATTTGGATCAAAGCGACAACCTTGTGTTTCCACTCTGTTCTCTTTTAACACCTCCACCAACATATAACCAAATTCATCATCTCCAACCTACATTATCGAGCAAGTTACGATGTCATTCTGTTCCTAAAAAAGCAGAAACAATACTGACTAACTCCTACATAGCGATAACGTACTTGATTTTAGTTTCATTCAGAAAGCTGCAACATTCAAGGGAGCCCCGTGTCACAAAAGATTGCAAACTAACTCGACCTTCACATATTGACGAGATTCAGGACGAAAGCATCTGATAAATCACATCTCCTTTGCAAGACCGCTTTTGATTGATATAGTAACCATGTGTTCAGTTGCACATTTGGAATATTCATGGTAAGCAATTTGAAAATAGCATAATACCTTGCCAACAAAAGCAGAATTACCCCCTAGCTTTGCAATGCCAACGGCAACATTTGCGGGTGCACCTCCGGGCGCTTTCTTAAATGCTGGGGCATCGGAAAGCGAAAGTCCTCCTACTGTTGGTACAAAGTCAATAAGCAATTCTCCAAAGCACACCACCAATTCGTTCTTACTCTTAACTGCGGATACACAACATAAGTTTCACTATGAAACATTCCCCATGCCATCAGTAAAATCGAAATAATCTCATCGAAGTGCATGCACTGCAACATTGATTTTGCAATAATCAGAGACAAAAACAGAAGACACAATTGCTGGAGCCTGAAACTAGCTACAGGAATTCATCTCCCCCGAAGCAATTCGCTGACTAACTCTCCAACACCCTAATTGATCTTTGAATGTTTATTACAAGTGGCACGTTTATCCTGACTAGGATACAGCATGAAACCAAAGCAAAGAATTTACCTCATACAAGCACTTGTAATCACTAAGATCATATTATGTTTTCCCACAACCTTGAGAACAGTCATCTTCCAACTCCACAAAAAAAATCAAACACTAAATCACACAAAGGGAAGATCCATACGGGTTGGAAACCTACTATTAGCTTCGTTGAAGGGATCAGGACGTTTTCCACCTTGGAACCAGGGTGGTCTGAACGACAAATTTTGGGAGCAACTCTTCACTGGTGAACCAACTTTTGAGGCACACCTCAGGTGATGAGCAAGTCGGGTGGTGTAATGTCTTTCCACACCCAGGAGGAGAAAGATTCAGACCCACAACAAGGACCGAACAATTCCGAGAATAAGATTAAGTAAAATTGAAACAGATAGGGCAGAGGACATCGTCACAGGTTGAAGTGAAAGTGGCTGTAAATTACATGAATTTGACAAGATACCGCCGCTACATGTGCACGCCATCGCATCTTATTCTGTTGGCTTTCTTCTCTATGTTCGTTTCAGTTACAGTCCTCCATGGATACAATTCTACTTTCATTCTCTCCCATTGACATTTACGGATCCCTGTTTTCCCCACTCAGCAATATACTTCATTTTCCAGCAACAGCACTGCAGCCACTATGATTTTTCCTAATCCCGCACACTGCATATGATTCCCTCCGATGCTGCACTCCGCAAATTCTTGCCAATTATATGAATACGCATATTTGACATCGGATTGTCTCCTCCTTGAGCGTTCGAACTCTTCTTTCAAATACCTTTTAAGTTATTGTGAAACCTAACCGCTCGTTGTACACGCGAACCGGCACCAGCTCAGAACTTGATTGATCTCCTCCAAGCACAAGACTTTTAATCTTCCCGCTTCCACCAACAACCTTCCAGCGGTGAGGAGAAAACCGCACGAGCGTTTCAAAATTTGGTGTCCATCAGACACATGCGACAAGCCTTGTGCACCTTATCTACCATTTCCAACTTCTTGCCCACATCTAGTTACTCGGCTTCTCATCCAGTAGCTTCTCTCTGTTTCAACTACCCACATGAAGATGAAGTGAACTGTTGTTTCCCACAAGTAACGGAGGGGCTTGTGCGATGTGGAAGTCAGGAGACAGAAGATCTGTAACAGGTTACAGACGAACAAAAAGTGTAAAGTACGTTAGTTTGTTCGCAATAGTCGCGAAATGGGTGGGGATGTTTATCGCCATGGGATATTCTGATGGAGTAAGTCTTAATGGAAGACACATCGACACACTACAAACACTCTCTCCCTGAGACGCGCGAGCATTAGGGCCACGATCTAGGACGAACTGGAGTTATTCGGGCCTTCCATTTCAAAGGTAGCTGAAATTTCACAAATTGCGAGGTTCACACTGGAGCACACTGACGTTCAGCATTAAGCCTAAATGTAATGGCACATTTTCGTCAGCACCACAAAGTCCTTCACAAGGTTTGAATATAAATGCTCCGAAAAAAAATAGGCATTTCGAAAAGTGGATAACCTCAAAAGTATGGGAATAACTCACTGAAGTAAACAGAAATACATTTGTACTTCAAGATAATAAAACCCCACGCTAAAAATAAAAATAAAACATTCTGAAATGCAGTCATCACATTGATCGAACTCCTCGTAAAAAAGACAACTAAAATGTTTTCAGATCTTGGCATTTGGGATAATTATATTGTATAAAATGTCCATACATCACATACAACCGGTCACTAGTACGGTTAAGAGTGCGCAGCCCAATCATTCTGGCTCATCTTCCATCGCTGATGGCCGCATCTACTGGACTTCCTAAAGCTACATATCACTTGACTTCTGTAAAATCCTGAAAAACAGCAGAATACCAAGCATTCATCACAAACTGCCCTAAAATGATCAGACTACAAATAATCCGATAGAAAAAAATTTGAAGAGTAATGAAACATTTCAAATATCTTTCTGCAATAAACAAATAAAATCATTAAAAGGGAAAACTATATCGAAAGATAATAGTTCGATCAAATAGATATTACTAATAAAATGTAGAAATCACTGATTGATAAATTTTTCGATCAGTTGATAAAGTGATAGGTAAGGTATTAAGTTTATAATGGCGCACCAACTGCAGAAACCAGGCACCTCATTGAAACGGCCTTGGATGATTATGGGACATCCACATGCGGATTAAATAGAGAGCTGAAATTCTCCAGAGGATGAGATCGAACTTCCACTATTCCACGCAATAGATTATATATATGAGGTTCCAGAAGTAAGCAAGATTGATAGCTGGAGCGGTCATCACTGGTGTCTTTAAGAGATGATGATATGCTGCTTCAGCTCTAAGTTTGGCCATGTTGATGTGGTTGCAAATATCCATCTCACTCACATTAAGAACCTGCTCAATGCTCCAGAATGTTTATGAATTAGAAATAAACCTCTGATATATTACAAGCAAACCTGGTGGTAGTTTTTTAAAAATTGAAGAATTTGTCTGTTTCCCGCTTTTCTAAACAAGAAATCACAATATATGCCACGGAACCAAACAGGAAATCAGGAGTAGTATTCAGCACCGTACACCAAAGCCTGTTCAAGAACAGATTCATTCCACCTACCGCTCCACCTTCTGAAAGTAGCTTCTCAATCAATGAAGATTGAAAAAAAATTACCACAGAAGGCCTAAAAACAACCTTCTGTGTGCGATGCGAATCCATTTCGGCTCCGAGAGGCCTGCAACTCGTTGTAATAATCCCGCATATCGTACATATCTGCAACATCCGCAAGCGTTTTGCAGCGATACATTGCCTTGCCCTCAGCAAATTCCAAACAAGAGTGGTACTGGATCATCTCTTTCAATGTGTGCTTGGTCCACCTCACATCATTATCCCATTCGATACATTTCCTGACATATTCTCTTTTCACGTCCTCCCAAAAGTGCTTTCCCTCGGGTCGAAATACAGAAACATTCCACATAGCTCCTCTGGCCACCATCACCGAGGCAGCGCCAGTCGCATCTTTAATGCGCTGAAAATCAGAGTACTCGAAAACATCCCCATTCGCAATCACCGGGATGGAAAGCGCCGATACTACCTCCTGAATCCCGTCCCACTGCGCTGGGTCTCGGGGCCTATCCGGCACTCTCCTCCCATGCACAGCCAACGCAGACACCCCCGTCTTCTCAATTCGACGCGCCAGCTCCACGGTCTCCCCGTACGTCTTCAGCAACCGAATCTTACACGTCACGGGGATGTTCAGGTTCCGCTTCAAAGTGGTCAAGATGTCGTGAATCACATCCGGTTTCGATAAGAGCGCAGAGCCCATGCCTCCACTCGTAGAAAAGCTCTTCGGACATCCCATGTTCACATCAAATGCCGCAATATCCCCTGCCACGAGATTGGCCGCCTTCAAACACCGAACGGCCTCCGACGTCCCGACCTGGAAGACCACGCGATGTTTCTCCTCGTCACAGGTGCGAAACACGACCTCATTGCTGCTCTTCTCGACGAAGTCTACCGTCCCAAGGTCTTCATTCACCACACGCGCACAGCGCACCATCTTGTGGTCCACAATTTCCTCGCCGTAGGTGATGTCCGCCCCGTATTCTGCCGCTAACATACGGAACGGGAGCCCTCCCACCCGCACCATTGGTGCGAGGACGTGCTTGCCTCTGTATTCTAACTCGGCCCCCATAGCTATGGAGACGACCCGGAATCCTGACAAGCAATTCACGACTCGCTCGCAGAACATGCACGGCACAGAGAATATTATGGTTGCCGAAGATTGAGAAGATTCTGGGATCTAGGGTTTCATCGATGGCGACTGAATTTAGTGTGGATGAATATTCAGTTGAACGAATGATCGTGCATCCGTGATTACGTGTGTGGCTATTACGGCAACAAAGATTGGATATATTAGAGTGGGGCGAGTGAGAAAAGTTTAAAATGAATCTAAATAGAATTTTTATGTAAACTTTTATTACTGTTGTATGCTAAAGTATAAATATATAAAATTGATATTATCTTAAATTATGTCATCTTAACTTTTAATTAACTAGTTTATATGGATATAAATCCAAAATGTCAAAAATAATAATAATCTATTTAGATTATAAATATATAAGTTAATAGAGTTGTTAATAAAAATATATAAGTTAGGGAAGGTGTTTATGACTTGGGTAACAAAGAAGCAAAGACTCTTCATAAACATTAGATATATAGATTTTTTTTTAAAAAAAAACACATGTTTTTTAAATTTTTATCTCATAGAATAAAAAATAGTATCTTATAATATTTAAATTTATCAGAAATTATCTATGATTTAAAAAAACGCAGGATATTTTGTACACAATCTTTGATAGTACTTAATAAATATACAAACACACAAATAAATAAAATTAACAACTCATATATATATATATATATATATATATATATATATATATATATACAAAAAATTGAATAAAAGAAATAAAAATAAATCAATAATAATTTTAAAAAATAAATGCCAAAGTAACCAAAAATATTATAAAAAAATAAATATTTTTTATTTCATACTAAGGATTCTTTATAGAGATTACACAAACTATAAAGAGAAGTAGTTTTTATTAGAACATTATTGTTCATTGCTTTAATATATGTTTGTAAGAAAATAGAGATATAGTCTTTTTATAAGAGTGTTTTTAATCTTGTTTAGTAATTAATAAGATCAATGGAGATGTATTTTTTTATTTTTTTATTATTGCAATATTAATTTCAGCTGTGTTGTTATAACAATAAATTTGTTTTTACTATTGTTATAGCAATATTTTTTGTTATATATTACTAATAATAATTGCACTATGAATGACCTCAAAATTACATGATGAAGTTGTATAATGGTTATTCATTAAAATGATAAAGTCATCAAATATTATCATGTTACCTTATCAAAATTTTAAAACATAACAATAAAATATGTAATAAAACTTTGTCTAGAATCTTAAATCTATAGTAAAAGATATTAGTTAAATTACTTCGAAATCTAAAGTCTTATAGTATGATATAAGATAATTAACGAAAACTACTATTTATTGGGTGTTAATATTACAAGTATATGATAAAAACATAATCAGTAATATAAAACAATTATAAAATTTCAGATGATTGCATTTGTCAAAGTTATAAAAAATTGGCATAAATATTTTTCATATCTAATATTTTAGTACTAATAATGCTTTAGTTTGATTTTTCGATCTATATAAAAAATGTTAAAGTTTGTTCTAAAACAATATATACCATATTTAATTACAAAAGATGATGGTTAATCTCTTAACATTCAAATAATTTATTATAATATATATAATATTTTTTTATTTAAATTTGAATATTTGAATATTTAAGAATGCAGATCTAAATATTAGAATCAAATTTAAAGTTGAGATTGATATACATTTTTTAACAGAGAATGAAAAATAATTAGTAACAATAACATGAATAATAGTATTTAAAATATATTTATTCAAAATTTAAAATAATAAAGAGTTAGTTGTTTTAAAATTAAAGCCATAATATATATTTTTAAACCGTGTGGTAGTTGTAGAGAAAAAAATCAATATATCTATATAATTATTCTTTTTCTATATATATATATATATATAATTTGACTTATATTTATCCATTCATATGTACCAAATATATCTTTTTTGAAGTAATTGTTCTACCAAATTCGTTTCACAAATCCTAATTACTTTATTAGCATACATTCTTATTACATTTATATTTAATATTATTCTAAAAACACTTCAATATAATTGTAAGAGATATAAGTAATTATTAATTAAACACAAAAATTTAAATAACCATCAATTCTTGTGTCTAAGTAATTCTTTATATATATATATATATATATATATATATATATTCTTATAATAGTTTTGGTTTTAATAAATTTAAACTCTTCTAGTGCTTGGTTATTTATGACACTTGTAGCAAGAACCACTTATCCCACAAAACACCTTCCATTGAGGAATTACTCTGGTGATTTGTTAACACCTTGTAAGAAAAAGAATTAAACCAAAGAGTCTCTTATAATAAGACGTCCTCCATGAATGAACAACAATAGACTTGCATTCGCAACAAAAGACAAGTAGAAATCCCGCTAGAAATCCAAGGCAACGGCTTACCCCTTAAATATAAATTCCTAATCCTAAACATTCAATTCGAAACCATAACCCTAAACCTCAGCCACAAATGCAGGATGGATGCAAGTATAGATAAAGTGTTGAATACAATATTATTATTATTGTGCCCACTCTTTGTGTATGCAGTGTATGTACACAACCTTGGGAGCCAGCCAGCATGGGAATAATGCAATGGAAGGGAATGGCTCACCCGTCCGAAAACAAAAAGAGAAACAAACTCACTAACTGCGAAACAGACTAAATTTGGAGTTTGGATTCGACGTGAAGGAAGGAAGGAGGAGGAGAAGTGGGAGAGCAAGCGAGGCTTTGGTTTTTATTTTGAATTTTAATATTGAGTTGTATCGTGCATTGATGTGGAAATGTGTCGCTGGTGTGGCTAAACCTTCGGTTATGGAGTCTTTGTAAGAAGGTCGGGAAGAATCCAACTGGCTTCTGTTGGGAAAGAGGAGGAGTTTGGGTTCATGCGAAGTTGGAAATTGTTTTGCAGAGTGGAGAAGATGTGAGGGTTAGTTAGGTTTAAGGTTTGGGAGGAGGGGGGGGGGGCAAGATGGATGTCTCGATGGGAGGAGGGGAGGAAGAAATCGTTGCTTTGCGGGAGCAATTGCGCCATTTGCAAAACAAGGTCGAGCACTTGCGACGGACTGGTTTGGAGCAATCGAGGAGCTTGGCTGTGACGGTCCCCGATCTTGAAGCTGCAGTAGAGCTCTCTTTGAAGGTTTGTAATGGTTTGCACTCATGTTCTGTAATTTTTCGGGCAACGCGGTTGTCAGATGGAACTTGAGGTCTGGGTTTTAGGGTTTCGGTTAATTCGTTCTGAGCGTGGCAATCTAACATGTTCTCATGTTCTCATGTTAATGCAATTGCGCCATTCTCACGTCAATGGAGTTGTACCGCTCGCGAGAGAGCTATGTTTTTTTTACAGCCTCCGTTTAGTAGCAAGTTCTGTGATTGGGATGTAGAAACATAGAACTAGTTAAAACGAGGCTGTGTATACTTATCATTACTCTGGGATACGTTGAACAGCATTTATGCATGTAGTTTATCATTGGTGTAGAGAGTTTGTATAATTCAGTCGGCTTCTAAGGAATGGCATCCACAGTAAATCCTTACGAGCATGAGTTTTGCTCAATTTACTTCTAAAGCCAACGAAACATTTATCATAGAACACTTGCCTTATAGACTTCACGTGATTCTAAATCCTAGAGTCAGGGGTGAGCTCAAAAGTCTCCATAGCGGTACTTCTTTGGTGAGATATCACATAGCAAAGAAGGGGGCACCATTGATTGTTTGCATACGTGCTTATACATTATCTACTTTTCTCACCTTTTTCGCCGTTGCTACGCGCATGTGGATTTGGAGTTGCTCTTCTGCTACTAGTGCATAAATGGCCCGAAACAATGCATGTATTTGCATTGAAAGAGAGTTTGTATAGTTGTGCCAAAAACTTCTCTTATGAGTTTTTTTTTTTTTTTTTTTTTTTTTTTTTTCCCATAAGGAATGAGAGTATTCTTCTTTCGCTGGTAAGAGAGTGACATTGTACATACCCCTCGTTTTGCAGGTTGCGTCCGTTTTTGGCGGACTAGAGATCAAAAGGAAGCATCCTACAGAGATTCAAGAGTCTGTCCAGAAGAAGTCTGATAGTGTCCATGCAATAAGTGGTGGAGACCATAATGAACTGCCGGGAGGTCCTAGGTATGCTGGTCCTGGACAGAGCTTTTCAGGGGGATTGTCGAATGGCTCTATTGAGCAAAGGGGGATTCTTGGTGCCCCATACAAGGCAAACGTGGATATAGACATGGGTGGGCCTAGATTGCCTGGGGATTCCTGGGGTGGAGCTGAAGGGCCAGTTCAGGGCGAGGGATGGGGAGCTGACAGTTGGGGAGGTGGTGGTTGGGATGGTGGCCGGGGAGTTGGCCCTGTAAATGCACTGGGAGTTGTGAAGGCAATGGTTGCTGGGTACCTGCTGTCACACATGTCAGTTTTTCCCATAGACTCTTTGACCATCTACTATCGAATGCTTGCCAAAGAAGTAAACCCTATTGAGATCGATGCACTGCATGAAGTGGGAGGTGGTGGGGAGGCAGGTGGCGTCACAGCCGTGGATTATGCTCTGCGGTCAATGGCAGAAGCAGGAGGTCTGCAGATTGAGGATATTGAAGATTGTCAGTATGGCGGATTTCACGTTTTGGTTCTGAATTTTGATAGAGGAAGGTTGATCAAAGAGCTTCCTGGCGGTTGCTTGCCGCCACCCCCACGGATGGGTGGAGATCACCACCATAGAGGCGTGATGGAGCCAAATGTAGGGCCTCATGGTCTTCCTACGAGGCCTGATATGTGGGATCATCTTCAGGGAGGTCCGCCTCCTCCAGGAGGCCCTATGTTTCCAGGTGGAGGAGGTCCTCTCATGCTTCCACGAAATGGACCTCGTGGTATGGGCATGCTTGGTATGCCTGGAGGAGGTCCAGGGTTAGGGGGTGGTTTTGGTGGACCCTTTCCGAGACCTCCCCATGCACCTGGACTTCATGGTGGCATGGGTGGGAAGGGCCGGGGACCTGCAGAGGAGGAGGATATTGATGCGTTGTTGCATAAAAAGTCGTTTAAGGAGCAACAGCAATCAAAGACAGCTGAGGAGCTCTTAGAGCTGTTGCATCGCCCTACTGCAAAAGAAACGGCAAATGCAGCAAAGGTTACTATTACTTTTATTATTTAAACATGTATTCGATTTAGATTGATGTTTGATTATTTTGGATATATATATATTTTTTTATCTTTTGAAATATTTCAATTTTAATTTTTAATATGTTTTGGTATTAATGACTTGTTCAGTTTAAGACGAAAGGAGGTTCTGCGTTGAAAGAATACTGTGCCGCTCTTACAAAAGAGGACTGCCGACACCAGCGGAACCATTTCATGGCTTGTGAGAAAGTGAGGCTTCACTGCACCTTCTTTTCATGCTCCTTACTTCATGCCTACTTCCAGTTACTGAACTTTCTTACGACAGATAGCTAGCGATGTTAGGACTTTGACTTTGTTCACTTCTCTGCACAGCGGCAGTAGTTTCTTGTTACATTTACTTCTTGTCTGTACCGACACTGCGGAGTGTTGCTGAATCGGCATGTTTTAGTTTATTCATCTAGTTAATGTTGAATCAGGCACATGTAGAACCGAAGATCACATTCTTCTATCTACACGCCTAAAGTTTCTGATACACCATTGTCCGTATTGACTTGAAATCAGATGCATTTTCGCCGCATTATTGCACCCCACACAGACTCAAATCTTGGGGACTGCTCATTTTTGGACACTTGTCGTCATATGAAGGTGCATATTCTTGATTTCCTGGGCTACCCCCTCAGCCCATGTTTCTCATAGCTTCTTTTTACTTTTTATTTTAGAAGGATGACGGTTGAATAGCTGTGATCTGCTGGCTCTGGGTATCAGCAGAAGTTGTTTCACTACGCGGATATTATTTCAATTGCGAGATGTTTTCTACACAATGTTTTTTCTAACTTGCGGATTGGGGTATTGCTTCATCTATCTTTCTTGATCATGGCTTTGTGATTGATAAACATTGCGTGTTGAATGAATACAGACGTGCAAGTATGTGCACTATGAGTTGGATCCAATTCCTGATGTTCCGGACCTCATGATGACTCCGGGCATACCGCCTAATCAGAGGCCTGGATCTAGGCCTCAACGTGCAGAGTATTGTTCAGATGCAGAACTTGGAGAGCCTCAATGGGTACAATGTGATATACGTAATTTTAAGATGGATGTTCTGGGACAGTTTGGAGTTATTATGGCAGATCCTCCATGGGATATTCATATGGAATTACCCTATGGGACTATGGCTGATGATGAGATGCGTAATCTGAATGTACCAGCACTGCAAACAGATGGACTTATATTTCTTTGGGTCACTGGTCGTGCTATGGAACTCGGAAGAGAATGGTAATTTTCTATATTTTCCCAAACTACTCTTCCGATGGTTAGGCCAGTATTCCCGACGTATGTATTGATTAAATCTTATTTCAGAATTATAAATGTGCACACATGTGTTTTTATAGTCCGTTTGGTGCATACATGATGTCAGCTTGAATTTGTCTAACGTAGTGCGTTTACTTCGAACATGTCCATTCTGTAAATTGTGCAACCAGCCTTGAGTTATGGGGCTACAAAAGAATGGAAGAAATCATCTGGGTCAAAACCAATCAGCTTCAGCGAATTATCCGGACAGGGCGAACAGGTCATTGGCTAAATCATAGCAAGGAGCACTGCTTAGTAGGTATAAAAGGCCACCCTGATGTCAATCGCAACATTGACACGGATGTGATTGTTGCAGAGGTTCGAGAAACAAGCCGGAAACCTGATGAGGTACTTCTTATACTATTTTCTTCTTCCTATGTAGTTACAGCTTAGATTCAGTGCGAAAGCGATTAAGGTCTTCTATTTTAAACCATACTTCACCTGTCCCTTAATGCAAATGGATTTGCAGAAAAGTTGAGGATTCATTCTACTGTGGGGTCATCTTTGTCTAAATTTGGCTACAGCTGTGTGGGTATCCTATTTACCTCTTAAAGATTATCTTTAGATATATCTCTTTGATGCTGCATTTTCTCTTGCATTGTTGATACACTATTTGTGTTCTAAAAAAGGATGGTGCCTGCAGATGTATCCTTTGTTGGAAAGAATAAGCCCAAGAACACGAAAACTGGAGTTATTTGCCCGAATGCACAACACTCATGCAGGGTATGTTGCATATTTTCTATCTAACGTGTATTTGTTTCTTGATTGCTTCTTTTGAAAACAATATTGTTTTTATATTTAGATTAATGAATGAATTAATGAATGAATTATCTTCGCTCCTGTCTAATGCCACAGCAAACCGGGTCGTATCTTAACCAGACACTATGTATGTTGTTTGCTTCCCATGTACACTTTTAATGACATGTTTTGGAGAGGATCAACCCCGAGCTTTGCACCTCAAGTGTCGTCCAAGATGCAATAACAAACGTTTACAACCACTCATTCCTTGTGGTCGTGTCTGCAGGTGGATATCGCTTGGAAATCAGCTAAATGGAGTACGCCTTGTGGACGAAGGGTTGCGTGCACGATATAAAGCAGCTTATCCAGACCAAGTTATTCAGCCCCCTGACTCACCTACACGAACCGAAACTAAGGCCAGTGTTCAAGACAACGATTCTGCATCCACTCAAACCAAGAGCTCACCAGCGTCTGCACAAAGAGTTGAGCTTATTACAACAGTTTCGACGGTAACCGTAAATACTACAATTGTGACCAACGTGGATGAGAAGGTACCTCTGCATGATACTGAAATGCTCGATTGACTTGTTGACCATCACAGCAGTAATTTGTAGCCCATCGTGACGCCTTCCCACTGCAGCCCTTCTGCTCATAGTTTTTCAAACCAAAAATGCGTCGGATATACCCAAATATGGAGCTGCAGATGCAGAATTGTTTTGGGGGACGTCAGTGTCCCACGGTGATATCTCATTATAGATTACTTCACAAGACAAGTTCGAGTGCAAGCATGCCTTTGGGTGTCACTGTTGGAGTCCAATTTCGTCGCGAGCCCGGTCTAATGAGAGCATCTCCACTTCGCCGCTTTCCATGTGTTTCACCAAGTCGTGAGGTGGGTACCGTTTTGCCATTTCTTGCAGCCCATGAGAATTCTGCTTGTGAGGATGCTATTTGATCTTTCTTCGAAACGCTTTGGTTGATAATATCCTGGGGCTTTCAGCATGGCAGCAGCACCTCATGTCACATGGCTTGATCGGGCTCTTCCCATGCCTTGATAGTTCTGCATTGGTCAAGAATAAGGCTCGTGAAGTGAAATTATGAAGAGGAATGGGCATTCTGAAAAGGCATTGCATGCATTTGAAGTTGTAAGTTGAGAGTACTTTGCAGGGCAGTTACTGATCATGTCCACACGGTAATGTAAGGATTAACTAAAGGTCGACAGCATCTGCGTTTAGGAATATACTGTTGCCGTAGTTCTGCATTGTGCTGGTTTCAGCATGGTGCTAAGGGGTTGTGGATGTCCTGTACTGGGTTTTTGGCTATCAGTACCTTGAGAAATTATGTACTTGCACTTCCTCCCAGGATGCTCCAAAAGTCATGAAGTGGCTTAGGAACAGAAATGTTTCTTCGCTTCCAATTTACGAAAGTTTGCTTTTTGAGTATCCAGACTTTTCTTGATGCTTATGTCAGGTGGCTGAATATACTTTCTTTATGTTTTTAAATAAATATTTAAAAATGAAAAAAGAAGAAATTTGATAAAATTTGATAAAAATTTGATTGAATATTTAATGGAATTGTAATGACAATAGCAAAAATTGTGGAAGCATTAGCCATACAATATATATAATTATTTTATTATTTTCTAAATCTTTCTTAATATTTTAAAGTTGTATCTTTTTAAGTTTTTAAATATTTTTAAAATACTAAAAATTAATTACTTTTAATAATATTAATTTCTAAATAATTTGGTATCATTAAAAATAAATAAATAGATGCCATGCTTATGTCTTTAATCATTGTATGCAATTAATTCAATATATAATTTTTAAATGTTAGAATTGCAATGACTTAAGACTAGATTCATACATATTTGCAAGATGATAATATAGTTGTTTATTCTTTCTTATTGTCCATAGCAATCTTGTCATTTGATAGTAGCAAGTAAAGAGATGATTCTTATGTGCAGATTGCAATGCAATTGATATAAAGCAATATTTATATTGACAAGTGACATGTTAGAATAGTTGATATACATAATGTGGACTTGTACAATGAACATTAAATTTAATCTTTAAATTTTTGGATTTTGTTATATTGACCAATAGAAATGGTTTTAATTAAGCATACTCGTCAATGTGATATACATTGTAGATGTATGGAATTTCATTGTAGTAATTAGTACATAGAATAAGTTTTTTACATTATAGATAGATTTGGTATATTTTTAATTACACAAGTGATTCTTTGTATATAGTTTTGACAATGTTATGCCAAATTTAATAATAAAAGAATTCTCAATGTTAGAAATTATACTATAAAAGCTAGTACTTGCTACTTGTGTAAGCACTTCTATATTAGAAATGTTGAATCTTTTAAGGCAAGATGGTTTTATATTCTTTATTATTTAAATTTTTTTCTTATAAAATATTTCAAAATATTTAAAAAATATTTTTATAAAAAAAATACTTTTAAATAACTCTCTAATTTTTTAGCATCAATTAAATTGAAGTTTTATAATAATAGAATATAATTTAGATTGCTTAAGTTTTGAATAAAAAGATAATAATTAAAGCTTTTCTAAATTTGAAGGCTATAACTAAGTTATTAAGTTTTTGTATTAAAATTTATTAATCAAATAAAATTATCTTTATAATCTCAAAGATTGAAATATATCTCGCTATCATTTATATTGTATGTTTTCAATAAATAACTCTATTTATACTTAAATTTTATATTCTTTTAATTTTTTAATCAAGTAATTTATTTCTTTTAAGATTTTCATAATTTTTTTACTATTCTTTATTGTAATATCTTTAAGAGTTTAGTGTGCAAAGTTAAATTTTTGCTAAATATAAGAGATTTTTTTATGCCTTAAAGACACTAATGTTTTAAAATATTTATATGTAGGAGGTTTTTGTTGAGACATAATTTAGGCAACTTCATTACTTAAGTGTGCTTAATATGATTGATTTTGAATTGACTATATATATAATGAAAGAATATAGAAATCAAATAATAAATTTTAGCAAATATGTATTATATATGCATACTCACAAAATTATTTAGGTTTTGGAATGGTGTATTAGTTTCTACATGCCTATATCTTATTTATATGAGAATAGTATTTAGGTCTATAGAATCATTTAGTTATTTTTTCAACAATACAAAATATTATTATTTTTTCTTTATTAATCTTATTTTTAATTTAAAATTTTAAATTAAAGTATATTATATATTTTTTATATTTTATTTACTTTAGCTTTATTTAATAGATTATTAATATAAATAAATGATTATATTTAATTCAAATTACTTATAAAAAAATTGATTATATTTTCTTTATAAGAATAAACTTAATAGTTTAATTTTTATTTTTTTTATAATGAGTTATATATAAATTACTTATAAAAAAACATAAATATTAGTTAGTAGTTAAAAGAAGTATGAAAAAGAACCTCATATCTTTTTAGTTATTTATATAGAAAGTAGAATTTGTAGTGGATTTAAATTGATTTTATTACTATAAAAAATCATCAAGATAAGAAAATATAGATTCGAATTGATTTTAATATTATAAAAATATTATAAGTTTTTTTTATAATTTATTTAGAATTTTTAAAGAATTTTTAGAGCAATTTTCAAGACTTTGGTAAAAATGAGTTTTACCACTTCAGAAGCCATTATGAAGAAATGGAGTAAGATTTGAAGGCCACATTAAGTTCTTAAGCTAATTGGGTTTTTTTTTAATACCATAATGAAGTCAAAAATACAAAATTATTGATTTTATTGGTAAAAAGTAGGAGGACCAGTAGCAAGTGTAGTCGTTGTAAGAAGGGAGGTGCACAAGTCCCATATGGGTTGTAGTATCTTGAAGGTAGTTAGGAAGATAAGACTAAGGCCTTGTGGCCTCTCTTAGTAATTCATATACACTACTTGTGAGCCTTTGTGAGGTTCAAACTCCTGATTTCTTAAGCAAGTTATCCTTGAGATAAAAATTATTTACTTAACTTTTCATTTATTTACTTGTTATTTTTCAAACCTTCATAACTGACTTGTAATAACTCGAATTTATATGTTTCTTAGACCATTGAAAAGATAAAAAAATAACTTTTTAAAAATATATTTTTTACTTTTATTGGATGAAAACTTAGTGAATAGTGTATGATTAGTTTTGTAGTGTATAATTGCTTGATTGTACTTAATTCACTTTTTTTTTTATTTTTGCCAAGGACGTGAATTTCAAAGAAAGAGAATCCTCAATACACTCTTATGTCACTAAAGAGAACTAGAAAGTCACTCAAAAGATAATGTAATATTAATTAGAATGGCTATTGCTAAAAACAAGAAGACTAGAAAGTCTTGAAACAAGATTAAGGACTAGAATGGTGTTCATAAGAATAAAGAAGGCTTCACTCTTGCCTCTTTATATACTTATAACTAAAAGCTACATGGTGATATCCTATAGGACCTCTAAAACATGTTGACTTTACTAACCACATGTTTTAACTTGCAAGACAAGTTATTTATATATGCGCTACATAGTTAGCTTGTTCCACAAGCTACTATACGGAGTTAACTTGCTCCACAAGCTACCAACACGTGGTTAGCTTGTTGGCCAAGTTTCTAACCTACAAACATATCTAAAGTCAAAACAGTATCTATATAGCTTCTAAGAAGCTTCTCTAGAAGATTTTATGAAATTAATCTATATTTATCTATTTTAATCTAATAATATAAGTAACTATTGAGGTAAATATATATGTCTATGACATTACCTCCTCTTGTAGAGACGACTTCCACGAGGAGTAGTCATTATCTTTCATGGATCTTTGCAATTCTTTATCTTGGTTTTGATGGATGTTGTCAATGAAAGGCCTCAACCTTCTTTGTTGCATTTATAAGATTCTTTGTTGGCTTCCATGTGTGTTTGCTAAGATCATATCCACTCGAATGAACAAGGTATTTCAACTTATTTCAATGCCCCCTTGAATCTAAGACTTCTTCAACCTCGAATTCTTGATTATTATCTACTTTTATAGGAGGAGGTGGCATTTGTCTTCTTTCTAAGATATTCACTATCTTATATGGCTCAAGAAGGGATATGTAAAATATATGGTAGATCTTCATAGACTCCAATAGATGTAATTGATAAATAATAAGAATGATTTGTTCACAAATAAAAAAAAGTCCTAACCTACGATAGTTTAATTTATCACAAAGACAAGTAGTCTTGATATTTTGACGAAGTAATCAAACCTTATCACTTATGTTGAATTGTAGTTGCTCCTTGCGATAGGCATCCACATTGGTTATTTGCTATTCTTGAGTTTCTTTTAATTATATCTTCATTGTTGCATGTAGCTCTAATAATTGATTTGCTAAATCTTTTGTCATAAGATGTCACGGTGTCATGATGTAATACGATTAATAGGTGAAAGAGTGTAGAGATTATTATAATTTAAGAGATCTTAGTTCAAAATATTAGAACAAATTATCTTAGAAATATAGTTAATAGCCAAAGGGGTAGAAAAATTAAAAGGTATCAATGTTGCCTTTTAGAAAGGTGACTTCTACTTACTTTGTAGTACCATAAGTAAGGCAAATCAAAGTAGATTGAGTAAATAAATGATATAGGAATCTTTAGAAGAAAGTTAAGAGTAAATTCTAGAAAAAAGTTAGAAAAACTAGATATTGATACCCGGAGAGGGCCGGTTATGAACTAGGGTCGAAATCAGACCCTGAGGCACAAAACCGAGTTTCCACGACGACTACGGGACTCTTTGGCAGATTGGAGAGTGGGGTTTGAGAGAAGATTGGATAGGGTTTCTATGAGCATTGATTTTGGGTGATTTGGAGTTGATACGAATTTTTAAGAGCTTTGCAAAGTTGAGGTTTTTTTCGGATGACTTGGGTTTTATGAAATAAAATAGGGTTTATGTTTTGAGTGATTTCGAGAGTTTTGTTGCAGATCTACAAGTGAATTTTTTTGGGTTCATGTTTATAGTTGTGTTGAATACATGTTGTGAATTTGAGCTTGATCTAACGGTTGAACTGAGAGATATTGCGGTTTAAGTGAGTCAAGGTCTCAGAAAGTAGAATTTTAGGTCCAGTGAGGGTTTTTAAGATTTCATGCAATTTACTAGTTGGATTGGAGTAAAGCTTATGTGAGAGGATATTAGACTTATTTTCCTATGTCCATGAGAAATTTGAAACCAATCGAACAGCGCAAAGAAGAGAAATTGGCTCTGGAAGGTTGGCAACAAGATTGGAGAAGGAGGCCGGCTAACACCCAAACACATTTTTGAAGTTTTCGTCAATTTGGTAACTCCGATCCTTTTCAAATTTTTTTTGCTTGTTTTGAACTTAATTTTTTAAGAAGTGTAAAAATTTTGAATTGAGATCAACGGTTTATTCATTAGATATTGAGGTTTAAATCTGTCAT